TGGTGTGGTCCACACCTGGGGCGTGGTCGAGCCGCCGTCCTGGCGTTCACTACACCAGAGGTGGCTCGGCCTCGTCGTCCTGGCGTGGCTTCGGGCCCAACGTATCCTTGCGCGCGTGCGTCTGCGTCGTGCGCGGGGCCTGCACTTGTCTTGGGGGGGGGCTGTCGAGTCGAGTTGCTGGACCATGCCGCCTGGCATCGACAGCTGCTGCAAAATTTGAGGACGACCCCCTCCAGACCTGTGCTTCCCGCCATTACGTTGTGTAAGTGCATCTCGAACTCCTGAGTGAAAACCACAAGAAGCCAAAAGGCGTTCCAAAACGCACAACGGGTAGGGCGGGAGAGGGAGAAGAGAACCCTGAGCAACCCACCCCAGAAGAAGTGGTTGTCGGCCGAGGCGGCAGACCGTAGATCCACGCTCGGTCTGTCTCGCAGTCCGGAGGACAGGCGTGAGGCCAAAGGGCCAAGTCACGATATGCTCAAAGAACCAACGTGCGATGCGCTTCGTCACAGAATCCGATGAGCTTTCGCACAACATCCCCCCGTTAATCCCCCCCAAAGGGCTCTAGCCCTAGCCGCATATTCATTCCGCGCAGACCACACCCCCAAGAAACGTGCCACGACGGCCCCCAAGAAGGCCTTAACACGGATCCAATGAGCTTCTTTATCACCCCCCATGTGACCCCAAGAGCTTGATGATGGCCTCATGATGGGCCGAGATATCCCCAAGACGCCACACGAAGTCTCCAAAAGGACCCCTAGAGGGCCCACTATGATTATCGTTCTAAAGGTTTTGGAAGATCAAGTGTAGTCCTGTTTAGCTTGAGGACCCCCAGAAGACCACCAGTAGCCTCCAGAACGGCAGAAGGGCACGACTGACCTGCACGCATACGAGCAGGGCAGAACAACCAACGCCGAGATTTTACGCGTTCTGGACGTGCACCTGTCGAAGGGAGAGAGGCAAGAAAAGGACGCTGAATCTACTTTTGCTGGACCATGCTACGGCCATCTTGTTGTTTTTTGTCCTCGTGGCGCTACCCTTTGCTCGCTGACGCCTTCTTCGGCTCTGCCGGGGTCGTCCTGGAACTCTCGTGGGAAATCTCGGTGTTCTCGTAGCCATCGTGATGTCGGCTGGTGCGATCTTGGAGCCATGTTGTGCCTCCCGTTCTGGCCTCTCTAGACGCTCGCCGCCCCTTAGACCACGCCCCCGAACTCTCAATCTGGGTCCACCCTCCTCTGGGCATCCCAGGTCTATTCCGGACACTCAAAACAGCCCACGGAGGCCCCCAGAGGGCGCAAGGAAACCCGACGAGGACCCCAACGACCGACAAGTGGCCCCCGAGAGAGACCAAGGATAGCTCGAGCGCTCCCAGCACGGCTCAAGATGGCCCAAACAGTTCCACATGCAAGCCCAGGGGGCCCGGAGCCAAACAGTCCTTGGGCGTGTTGGGGTCTCTTGGAGCCTCTTGGGTGGGTCATCCGTGCCTTCTCGGTTTTTTGCGGTCTTATGGGGGCATGGTATGGAATCGTAGGGGAGGGGCCGAATGCCTTCTCGGAGGCGTCTTGAAAACAGTTTAGAATCCTCTTGGGCCTCTTTGGGGCCTACTTGGGCCCTCTTGTGGGCATCCTGGGGGCCTCTCGGCGCATCTTGGGGGCGCCTTGGAAGCCGCTTGGGGGATTGATGATGCCTTCGGGATGCATGTTGGGAACGTTCGTATTCGGTATCGGGGGCTAATCGCCGATGCTTGTCCTCCCCCATGCCAGTCCCTCCCTATCGTTGCCCCTCGCCTGGAGGCCTCGCGCATCGCGCAATACGGCTGGACCGAAAGATCAGATCGACGTCGGCTCGGGGAGGTCACCTTTACGTTCTTCGCTTTTGCCGGCTGTTCCCGTGCATCCTGGGCGAGGGCACCCTCGAAGGATCTTCTGGTTTGAGGTGTTTTGGCCAGCGGAGAGTCTCATGCTCTTACAGGGTGCTTCTCTGTCCCAGGTCCGGCCGCATCCACGCGTCCGCCCCGTCAGATACCGGCACGCGTTCGCGCGGCGATGCCCCGACGTAAATCCAGTGTTGATCCGGCGTGCATCCGGCGTAATTCCGACGTCGTAGGAGGAAGAGGAGGTAGAGGCAGAGGAGAGAAGACTTGCAGGGAGGAGAGAGGGAGAGGAGGAAGAAAATAAGCATTTTCACATATGTGCACTGTTATGAAGTTGCAGTGTACATCATTCAAGCTTTTGTGTAAATTCGACGTCGTGAATTCGACGTGGATCCGAAGCAAACTGTTTCTCAAGCGGTCCGCGGGAGGCATCCGGGAGTTTTCTCATATAGAGGGGGCCTCGGACGCCGGGAGCCCTGCCGCCCTCTCGTCCCTGTCGCCCTGGTCTCCCTGTCTTTTGCCGATTTCTCCTCTTCTGGTATCTTTCGGCCCCTTGATCATCGCCACCGTCACCGCCATCATAGCCATCATTACCCGCATCCTCATCATCACCATTATCATCATCATCATCATCATCATCATCATCATCATCATCATCGTCAGCATCGTCAGCATCGTCAGCATCAGCATCAGCATCAGCATCAGCATCAGCGTCAGCATCATCGTCATCATCATGATCATACGTATTACCATCGTCATCACCATCAGCATTGTCATCGTCATCACCACCAGTAGTAGCATCAACATCACCATCGACATCATCATCGTCATCGTTATTGTCATCACTACCATGTTTGTCGCCATCACATTCACCGTCGTTGCCATCATCACCATCATGTTCAGCATACTCATCACCATCATCATGGTTTAACATGGTGTTGTTGATGATGATGACGATGATGATGATGATCATGATGATGACGATGATGATGATGATGATGATGATGATGATGATGATGATGATGGTGATGATGATGATGATGATGATGATGATGATCTTCATGATCATGATCATGATCATCATCATCATCATCATCATGACCATCATCATCATCATCATCATCATCATCATCATCATCATCGATGCGCCACCGTTTTGCCTAGGCCCTTTTCTCAGCGCGGCATCGGTCCCTCTTGCGACAACAGGTGGGACAATCGGGTGGGCGAACAATTGCACGAGGACGTCTTGGCCTCACTGAAAAAACATGGCCGCCCGCGTCAGATGCGTGTCGTCTTCTACTCCGCGTATCTCGTTTTGGACAGGGTGCGCGTGATCAGCAAGCACAGCGACGACGAGCGCTGCACCAAGGAGAGTCTGGCGTTGGCGGCTCTTTCACGGTGCATGTGGACACACAGATGGCGCACGGGGAGACCGAGCGCGGCGCCACGATCATTTTTCATTTGCAGGAGGACCCGGCGGAGTTCCAGGAGCAGCGCCGCCTGAAGGATTTGGTCAAGCAGCCTTCTGATTTCATTGGGATCCCCGTTGAACTGACCGCGAACATGTCACATGAGAAAGGGGTAACGGACTCTGACGACGAGGAGGAGAAGGAGAAGAAGGGCGGGGCAAAATAGGCGACGAATCGTTTATCGGGGAGGCCGATGAGGAGAAAGAGCGGAATAAGCAATAATGAGATGAAGAAGGTCAGGGAGGTGTCCCACGAAGGTGAGCAGCTCGACAAGAAGAATCCGCTTTGGATGCGCAAGTCCGAGGGCGTGACCGACGAGGGGTTCGCCTTGTTCTCAACGACTGGGAGGACCACCTGGCTGTGAAATACTTCCGCGTGGAGGGCCAGCTGGAGTTCCGAGCGTTGGCCTTCGCGCCGCATTCGGCGCCTTCCAACCTGTTCAAGTCCGGGAAGAAATGCAACAACATCAACATGTACGTGCGACGAGTTTTGATCATGGACGGCTTCACGAGCTGATGCCCGAGTGGCTCAACATCGTGAAGCGAGCGGCTGCCTCCGAGGATCTGCCGCTGAGCATTTTTTGTGAGACGCTGCAGAATTACAAAAAGCTGCGCGTGATGAATAATGGCCTCGTCAATGATTGCCTCGAGTTATGCTTTGCGCCACAGGAAGCATATTGCCTGTAACACGCACGAGGTATGGCGAGTCGGATTGCGCGCGTCGGCGTCCATGAATACATTGTGTTCGGGTGCCTGAACGCCATTCTGCGTATCATCAGCTGTCCAAGTCGGTTTGCTACGACCTCGCGCGTGTGGCGAGGAACATGTTCACGGGAATCGTTGCCATCACCCACTCGTGCGACCGCTTCTCCTCTTGCATCAGAAACGCGAAAGCCACAGTTCGTGCGTACATCTAATTGTGCTTGGCTCAATCGATATACTGCCCACCCCGCGTGCAGTGAGCGGCGCCCTGGGGTCAGTCCTTGAGGGCCCCGAGCGGCTCTCCCATTCTGGAGCGCCTTGGCTCTATGGGAGGCGCTGCGCTCAGGGGGGAAGTGCCCTGGAGCCCCGCGTCTTTCATGTTGTGCATGCTCGTGTGGCGTGTTCGGACACAACGGTTGTTTGCCGAAGGCTTGTGGTGGCCCACTGGCCCGAGCCTCTTTGGGGAGGTCACATGGGGTTGAACGCATGAACTGATCAGCATCCCCATCATCATCATCATCATCATCATCATCATCATCATCATCATCATCATCATCATCATCATCATCATCATCATCATCATCATCATCATCACCATCACCATCACCATCACCATCATCATCATCATCAACATCAACATCAACATCATCAACATCATCACCATCCAACATCATCATCATCATCATCATCATCATCATCATCATCATCATCATCATCATCATCATCATCGCCGCTGTCATCAGCATGAACATCATCATCATCATCACCACCACCACCGTCACTATCACCACCCTGATCACCATCACCTTCACCGCCACCACCACCATGGCGTTCTTACCCGCCAGACCCGACCGGAGGACCCTGTCCGAAAAAAATGACGGAGGCGAAGGGGGTCCACCACCCTCCTCTTGCTTCTCTTCTTCATCTCCTGGGAAGCCGGGTGCCCCACTGCTACAGGGCTCCTGGGAGTCGCCCCGCGCGCCGCCGCGGCCGCGCACCCACTGCGGCCTCGTCGGGCGGGGGCTGGATCCACGCGAGGGCCGCCCGGCGTCCGAAGCGCGGGCCTCAGGGGCGGGCGGCCAGCCTTGCGGCTTCGGGGGCGGCCCGATATGGGGTCGAGGATCGAGGAGGGACGAGGCCGGTCGGGGGAAGAAGAGGCACCCATACAGCTGCTCTTCGTCAGTTTTTTTCGCCCTCCTGGGAGGTTTTCGTGACCACCTTTGGATTCGTTCCGAAATCCCCGTCGGAAAGCACCCTGGAAGAGGTCCATGGAGTAATGGTATCGGTGCACTTTTGGTTCCCCCAGAGAGCGAGAGAGAAAGAGCGAGAGAGAAAGAGAGAGAGAGAGAGAGAGGGAGAGAAAGAGACAGAGAGAGAGAGAGGGAGAGAGAGAAAAGGAGAAAAAGAGAGAAAACCATAAAGAAAGAGAGAGAGAGAGTTATACATATATATATGTATACATCTAGCAGAGGGAGGAAGACGAGGAGGAGGAGGAGGAGGAGGAGGAGGAGGAGGAGGAGGAGGCTGGAGGAAGGGGAGGAGGAGGAAAGGGGAGGAGGAGGAGGAGGAGAGGAGGAGGGAGGAGGAGGAGGAGGAGGAGGAGGAGGAGGAGGAGGAGGAGGAGGAGGAAGGGGAGGAGGAGGAGGAGGAGGAGGAGGAGGAGGAGGAGGAGGAGGAGGAGGAGGAGGAGGAGGGAGGAGGAGGAGGAGGAGGGGGAGACAGGAAGGGGGAGGAGGAAGGGGAACACGAGGAATAATATGACAAGGAGGAGGAACAAGGGGAGGAGGAGGAGGAGGAGGAGGAGGAGGAGGAGGACGAGGAGAAGGAGGAGGAGGAGAAGGAGGAGGAGGAGGAGGAGGAGGAGGAGTAGGAACAAGGGAAGGAGGATCCCACCCTGGCTCGTGTGGCTGGGAAATGCATTCCCCCTCTCCCTCGACCTCCTCCTCCTCCTCCTCGTCCTATTCCCTCTTTGTTGTGTTGTTCCTTCCTTCTCTGATCTGTTATTCTTCCCTCTTCCTCCTCCACCCCTCTTTTTTCTTCGTCATCATCAATGTATCTACCCATCTTTTTGGCACGGCGATTTGTACTGCCCCCCGCGGTCGCGTACCAAGAAACGCGCTACCCAAGGACGTCAGGCGCGTGAGGACAAGCCTGGCCCGCAAGCAACGCACGCGCACGGCGCCGAAGTCGGACGGTCAACGGCAAATTCCGTGGTGGCCTGTAGATCAACCATCGAAAAAAAACAAGTGGCACGCGTGCCCTGGCTCTTGCGCAAAAGGAGCTGGGAGGCCCGCGCCTCCTTCTTTCAGGATGGGGGTCACGGAGGAAGCCTCCCAAGGGGGGGTGGCCCAGGGGAGCTGGGGCTCAGGCTCAAGGGGTGGGTTGGTTCGAGGGGGACGAACCACCACGAACCACGACGAAAATAAAGGATTCCGCGGCCCAGGGGGGCTGCCCTGGGAAGCCTGGGCGGAGGAAGGCTCCCAACGGTGGCTGGCTCAGGGGAGCTAAGGTTCAGGGGAGCTGGGGCTCAGGCTCAGGAGGGGGGCCGAGGGTGACGAACCACCGCGAGCCACGAACCACGACGAACATAGAGGGTTCCGCAGCCCAGGGGGGCTGCCGTGGGAAGCCTGGGCGGAGGGGCGGTCCCAAGGGGGGGTGGCCCAGGGGAGCTGGGGCCCAGGCTCAAGGGAGGGGCCGAGGGGGACGAACCACGACGAACCACACACCACGACGAAAATAATGACGTCCGCGTCCCAGGGGGGCTGTCCTGGGAAGCCTGGGCGGGGCAAACCTCCGAAGGGTGGGTGGCCCAGGGGAGCTGGGGCTCGGGCTCAGGGGAGGGGCCGGGGAGGACGAACCACCACACGCCACGAACCACGACGAAAATAAAGGTCTCCGCGGCCCAGAGGGGGTTGCCTTGGGAAGCCTGGACTGAGGGGCGGTCCCAAGGGGGGGTGGCCCAGGGGAGCTGGGGCTCAGGCTCAGGGGAGGGGCCGAGGGGGACGAACCACGACGAACCGCGAACCACGACGAACATGAGGATGTCCGCTGCCCAGGGGGGCTGTCCTGGGAAGCCTGGGCGGGGCAAGCCTCCGAAGGGTGGGTGACCGAGGGGAGCTGGGGCTCAGGCTCAGGGGAAGGGCCGAGGGGGGCGAACCACCACGACGAACATAAAGATGTCCGAGCTCCAGAGCACAGCTGTGCAAGAGAATGCAACGTTCCGCGGCCCAGGGGGGCTGCCCTGGGAAGCCTGGTTGGAGGAAGGCTCCCAAGGGTGGGCGGCTCAGGGGAGCTGGGGCTCAGGCTCAGGTGGGGAGGGGGGGGGGGGCGAGGGGGGCATACCACCGCGAGCCACTGCGAAAATGAAAAGTTCCGCGGCCCAGGGGTGCTGCCCCGGGAAGCCTGGGCGGATGGGGGGGGCCCAAGGGCGGGTGGCCCAGGCTGGCTGGGGCTCAGGCTCAGGGGGGTGGGGGGGCGGGCGAGGGGGGCGAACCACCGCGAGCCGCGACGAAAATGAGGGGTTCCGCGGCCCAGGGGGCTGCCCTGGGAAGCCTGGGCGGAGGGGGGGTCGCACGGGGGGGCGTGGCCCAGGGCTGGGAAGCCTGGGCCGAGGAAGGTTCCCAAGGGTGGGTGGTTCAGGGGAGCTGGGGCTCAGGCTCGGGCGGGGGGGGGGGGCGAAGGGGTGCGAGCCGCCGCGAGCCGCGGCGAAAATGAAGGGTTCCGCGGCCCAGGGGGGCTGCCCAGGGAAGCCTGGGCGGAGGGGGGGTTCCGTGGGTGGCCCAGGGGAGCTGGGGATCAGGCTTAGGGGAGGGGGGGGATAGGGGGAATCCATCGCGAGCCACTGCGAAAATGAAGGGTTCCGCTGCCCAGGGGGGCTGCCTTGTGAAGCTTGGGCGTGTGTGTGTGTGTGTGTGTGTGTGTGTGTGTGTGTGTGTGTGTGGTGTGTGTGTGTGTGTCTGTGTGTGTGTTGTGTGTGTGTGTGTGTGTGTGTGTGGTGTGTGTGTGTGTGTGTGTGTGTGTGTGTGTGTGTGTGTGTGTGTGTGTGTGTGTGTGTGTGTGTGTGTGTGTGTGTGTGTGGTGCTGTGTGCGCGCGTGCGTGCGTGCGTGCGTGCGTGCGTGTGCGTGCGTGCGTGCGTGCGTGCGTGCGTGCGTGCGTGCGTGCGTGCGCGTGTGTGTGTGTGTGTGTGTGTGTGTGTGTGTTTTTGTGTGTGTGTGGTGTGTGGGCTCAGGCTGATAGGGGGGGGGGGGGGGGAAGGGGTGGGCGAGGGGGGCAAGCCACCACGAGCCACGACGGAAATGAAGGGTTCTGCGGCCCAGGGGGGTTGCCCCGGGAAGCTTGGGCGGAGGAGGGGCCCGATGGGTGGTGGCCCAGGGGGGCTGGGGCTCAGGCTCAGTCAGGTGAAAAGAAGGAGGGGGGGGAGGGGGGGGGGAAGGCGAGGGGGGGGGGCGAGGGGGGCAAACCGCCGCGAGCCGCGGGCCATGACGAAAACAAGGATGTCCGCGGCCCAGGGAGGCTGCCCTGGGAAGCCTGGGCGGAGGGTGCCTCCGAGCGGTGGGTGGCCCAGTGGAGTTGGAATCTTGGGCGGAGGAAGGCTCCCAAGGGTGGGTGGCTCAGGCGAGCCGGAGCTCGAGCTCAAGGGGGGGGGGGGGCGGCCCGCCGCGGGCCACGACGAACATAAAGGGTCCCGCGGCCCAGGGAGGGGCGGCCCAGGGAAGCCTGGGCGGAGGGGGGATCCCCAAGGGTGGGTTGCCCAGGGGGGCTGGGGCTCAGGCTCGAGGGGGCGCTGGGGGGGGGGTGCGAGGGGAGCGAGCCGCCGCGAGCCGCCGCGAAAATGAAGGGTTCCGCGGCCCAGGGGGGCTGCCCTGGGAAGCTTGGGCGGAGGGGGGGGGGGCAAGGGTGGGTGGCCCAAGCTGTGGATGTGTGGCCATGGGCCTCATTGTCGCCATCTTGGAAATGCTCGCACCTTTCTCGGTGAAAAGACTGGGCATGCACATCATTGAGCTTCGTCTCCAGGCTGCATCTGTGTAGGCGCGCGTAGTTTTGCCTGGGGGGCGCCGGGCCCCCCCGCCTGCGAATCCGTGGGATGACGAGCAGCCCGTGCCTCTTCAACGGCATTCCTGAATGCAGCCCACCATTGCCTTGTCACGCACAGCGCCCATTGCCAAGCGCGCCGACATATGTGCGCATCTAGATTCCATCTGTCGCGCGCGTTGTCGGCGATGGCGCTGGCGCGTGGAAAGTGAGGAGTGAGCTCGATGTAGGACGCCCAGTGCAGTGTCCAGTCACGTCGCGCAGCATCTCTTGACTCCACGCGCTGATCGATCGCCCGGGGGGCGGCGCGGCCGCTCATGCCACGAGCAGGGGTGTCACTCGACAAGCGTGCCCGGGTCCTTTCATGAGGTTCAACTTTGGCAGAGATGTGCCCAACCTCTGCGCCATGTTCCGCGCGCGCAAAATCAGTTTCGACGTGGGGCCAGCGCCCGGAAGAGTGGCGGTAGACCACCCGGGCGAATCGTCGGAAAATGCCGAGCAGCCGCAGGGTTCTTGCCTTGGCAAAAACGTATTCGAAATAGACGGTGAATGTCAGTTCGTGGTGCTTGACCACCGCGAGGTATTTAGGCAAGCGGCCAAAGACATGGCGCCATAGCCTGGGCGCCCGTCAGCACCGCTAGCGGCGTGCACCCCGCCGGAAGCAACCCCGTTCAACCGCGCGCCAACGCTGGAAATGCCAATCTCACCAGCAGCGCCCGCACTTGAGCTCGGGTCTCCCTCCAGCGATTCCGGCCAACGGGCTCCCGCGAAGCTGGCTTAGCCGATTGGGTTTCTTCAGCTGGTCAGTCTTAATTATCTCAGGGCTCGCCGAGGTCCGCAGACCTGACGGGGCAATCGACGTCGCTGAGCTGCCCCAAGCTGCGCCCCCGCACACCATGTGCTGAAAGCGATCTTCACCTGTTGGCCAAATTCGTGCGGTGAAGGTCTGCGCGGTTCGTGTTGTCAGTGTGGTGGTCAATGCTTTTCCAACTCGCCCTGCTTGTCCTGCGATTGCTAGTCCACGAATCTCCTAGTCCCAACTCTTGAGTGCGCGGAGGCGCTGCAACTGGCGTGGGGGGCGGCGCGATGATGACATCAGGATGAGTACTGTCATCGAAGAGTCCTCGTATCCTGGTTGTGCTCTCGCCGCGCCTCTCGAAATCTTGGGGGCATTCAGGGTGCGCTGGTGGTGCCCCTCTGAGAAGACGTTTTGTCGCGTCGTGAATGGTTTGCGGGGCGAACTTCTGGCGCGCGCCGCGAAGGGCGGGCCGGCGGCTCGCGCGAGATAATCTGGCGGCGCTCGCGTTGTCACATGTCTCTTCGCATGTCTGCTCGGCGTTCGCCCTGGTCGCCGCGAGAGGGGGCGCCCCGCTGGATGATCTGCGCCTTGGCGGCGGGAAGGCGCCGGAAACGGCGTCAATCAGTTTTGGCTTCGCCAGCTCCAGCTAGCAGTTGATCGCATCTCCATGCGTCGACGCTTCCGCGCCGATTTGCAAATCTTGGCCATCGGGGGCGGCGCGCGGGTGCAAGCGCGTGGGCGAATGAAGAATGAGGCGTCGATGATCGGGCTCCGGGCCCGAGATGGTCAATGGGGCGATTGCGAGACTTGTAGCATCCCCAGTTATTGCCGCCGTCTACGCTTAAGCTTGCGGGCCGAGGGATTGGGGCACCTGTTCGCCCTGCGAGTGTGCGCGTGGGTGCAAAACTACCGAGTCGGGCTCCGTTGCGCCTCCCTTCGAACCGCGCTCGACCTTCGTTGCGTCCGGCGCGGCTTCTTTTTACAGCCCGTTGAATTGGGTCGATGCGCGGCCAGGCAGGCCTTCGATTTCTCGCGCGGCGCTGAGCTGTGTTGGCCGATGGAGGCAGTATCTATTCAAGGTGCAGCATTTCCCGCTTGCCACCCCGCGCCCGCGTCGGCCCGGGCGTCGGCCCCCACTGCGAGGCCAGCAGGGGTGGGGTCTGAGGCGGTGGTAGCGGGAGTTCCTGTGCCGAACCATTAGGAGACGGTGCTGCCTCTTCAGGCGGCTGCGCGCGAACCCCCAGATGCTGCTGCGCAAGCGGGGGGGGCGTCGGACAGGGGCCAGCAGGAGGCATCATGGCGCCCGTCGCGATCATGGCTTGCCGCGTATGGTGCGCCTGGATCAGCATCTGCTGGCTCTGCGCCTGGGGCTGGACATGCGCTGCGTTGCCCTGCTGATTCTTCCTTTGCAAGCTGGCGATCCTTGTTGTGGGGTCTTCCACGTTGGACTCGCTGGGTGTGTGGGGGGCTTCGCCGTGACAGCGTCGTCCTGTTTCGGAATGAGGTCGTGTGTGTTCTGCCTTCTATTGGCTTCTGTGGCGGCGATCGCAGAATTTGCGCCGTTGATCGCGTAGCTCAATTCCTCTCCCTGAGACTGCGAAGTTACTGTCTGGGCACGGGTCTTTTTGAAACCCTGCAATTTCCTGGCGAGTTTGGCTGCGAGCTCTGCTGTGCATTCGCTCCGCGGGTTGGTCTGGTCCAAGGGAAATTTGAGCATGGCAATTTCATCTCGCAGCTCCTCGTCTCGCTTCGTTGCCCGCTTTGCCTCGACCGCCAAGCGGCCATCGCAAGCGCCTGGGGACGAACTGGTCTCATGATTGGCGCTGGGCTGTGTGATCTTCTGGCGGGGCCACTACGATGGAGAGTTGGCACCGCGCGATCGAACACCTTGTGAGCCATTCTGTCGACTCCCTGCTCTAACCGACGGTCGTGGTTGGACGAATTCGACCAGGTCTGGCTTTGGGCAACGCGCCACGACATGCACTAGGTCGACGTCGATCCGGGAACGCATCATACGATGAACATCGCAAGAGATGTCCGTCCACTCGCTGACCACTGTAGCAAGTCCAACCAGGTCCAAACGCCCTTGCCATGTGGCCCGTCTCCTCAGCGAATGGATGTGGTTGTGATTGTTGCGCATTGTCGTATGCCGCGAGGAAGCGGCTGGCGTGGCCGATCCTCAGCAGCACCCGCGATTCAGCCCGGTCATGCCGAGCACGGCGGTACCGCGCTGGCTCGCGAGGCGAGCGCGAGCGAGGCGCCAGTATCAGCTGCATGCCTTCGAGGACGCGCGAGGCTGCTGGCTGTGAAAGGCCGCCCGGATCTCCTCCTCCCCTCTCCGCTTTCTCCCTCGTCCTCTTCGTCCTCCTGCTCCTCCTGCTGCTGCTGCTGCTGCTCCTCCTCCTCCTCCTCCTCCTCCTCCTCCTCCTCCTCCCCCTCCTCCTCCTACGTCCTCCGCCCTCGTGCCCCCCTCAGGAACAGTTGTTTTGTTATTCTGTCGGAATGTTAGGGTGCAACATGTTGAGTCGCGGTGTTGTTTTCTCAGGATTGGTTATCTGGCGCGGTCGAGGATTTCTAGAAACAGCAGTGGTGGTGATTCGCGTCGTTGAGTTCCCATGCGTGGTGTTTTGGCATCGTTTCGGATTTTCAAACGGTTGTTTTCCAACGGGGCACTTCCATCAGTGAGAATGAACCCTTGTAGGGGCCTGCGAAAACGGAATCTTGGAGGGAGGTTTTGTTGCAATGTCGTTGGCGCGTCCTGGGCTTGCAATGGTTCTCTTCCTTCTGTTCCTCCTCCTCCTTCTCCTCCTCTTCGTCGTCCTCTTCGCCCATCCCCCCAACTTCCTGCCCCCCCTCTCCCCCTCCCCCGCCCTCTCGGCGGCGGCGGCGGCTCCCCTGTCGAGCGGGGCCGCCGAGGATCGGTCGTGCTGGGGCGACCAGGCGCGCGCCGGCCGCGCCGCGCGACTGCGGGGGGGGTCGGGGGCCAAATTGCGGTTGGCATCGCAAAGATAGCGCGCGATGTGTCGCCGCTGGCCCGCTTCTTGCATGCGATTCCCAAAATTGGGGAGACCGTGCGCGTGATAGCGATCCCTCGCGGGGGGGCCAGGGGTGACGTCTGCGGGGTTCGAGGCTTGACGTTGGAGCCCGCTGGGGGTATGATGTGGCCTCGAATTGGTTCTGGTCGGCAGGAAGTGCGGTCAGCTTCGAGGCGCCAGGTTCGGGAAGGTTTTTTTCCCCACATCCTAAGTGAGTTTTTTGTTTTCTCTGGACGCCCCGCGCAGGAACAGGAACAGGAACAGGAACCCACCCACGTCATCATCGTCGTCAGCATCATCATCATCATCAGCATCATCATCATCATCTTTATCATCATCTTCGTTTTCTTATTCTTCATCATCACCATCATCATTATCATCAGCATGTTCACCATCAATCAGTTACTCACTCGCTCACGCGCCCACTGATCATCATTCCCACCATCCTCTTCGACATCATTCCCACAGTCACACTTACACACAAACGCACTCACACACTCACACATCTTTGTGGGCACAAGAAGCGACAGGGCTATTTTTAACCGTTTTCGTTTTGCTGTTTTTGTTACCTGTTTTGACGCCGTTTGTTTGCCGGCCGTCTGTTTGCCGGTTCCGTCGCCGTGTTTTGCTCGTTCCCGTTCCCGCCGTTTCCACTTCCAAGAATTTGTTTTACGGAAGCGGTGAAGTCGCAAACTATTAAGTGGCAAATTCACACACTCATGCAATCATCTTGAGGAGTCCAAGGCGGGATCTTCGTCTGTGAGTTACTTGCGAGGAGGTCTCAAGCTGGAACCCTTCTTTATGGGCCCGCCCATCTTGTACGAATCTTAGCGGGTCATCGGGAACATGTGTTTGTCGTCACTTGTGGGCTCCTTGGGCTTGAATATGGAAGAAATATCAGGCGGCAGCCTCGAACGTGAGCGAAATGCGAGGACGTCATGCTGGAACCTCTTCCTTCTGGGGCCCGCAGATTATTTATGTGTCGTCGCCTTTGGGCTGCTGAAACCTGAATACTCGGGAAGGATCAGACGGAAGCTTCGTCTGTGAGTGAATTGCGAGGAACTCTCACGCGGGAGCTTGTTCCTTATGGGCCCGCTGATCCGATTATTCATCCGAGCGGGTCATCGGAAATTTGTAACAGTTGTAATTTTTGGGCTCCTGAAGTGTCGGGCGGACATTGCGGAAGTATCGGGCGGGTGCCTCGTCTGTGAGTGAATTGCGAAGGAGTCTCAAGCGGGACCTCCTCCCTTTATGGGGCACGCGTTTCATATCATCCATCCGAGCGGGTCATCGGAAACTTGTAGTTGTCGTCGCGCTTGGGCTCCTGAAGCCTTAAAGTGGTGGGCGTTTCAGGCGGGCGTTGGCAACCCGAGCGTTGTATGCCGAGATGGTCGTCGGCAAATTTGTTCCTGTCAGTGGCACGCGTCCCCGAAATAGGGAATTCTCGTGGTTCCGCACTAGCGTAGGACACAAAGGGCGTTTGAGGAGCTGACCCGGGCGCAGGTGTAATCTCTCGTGTCCGGGGCGGGGGCGGTAACCCATCCTCGGTCGAATCGGGGGCAGGGATCACCTTGTGTCTCCGGACCGCTGGTGGTAACCGATCGTCGACTGATCGTACAAGTACGCTGAACCGCAGACGGTACAGATGCAACACCAGCGTGCCATCGAAGGGCACGAAGCGCTTCGAGCCTGGGGACCTCCTGATCACGTTCTTGGGCTGCACGTGCGAGGTCCTTCCCACCATAGCTGGCGCCGAAGGCCTGGACCTTCGGCGCCAGCTAGATTTTTCGGCTCGGCTACGGCATGGGCATATACTGGGGGGCGCTGGCGAGTTGGGTCAACGCGCGCGCTCGTCGCGACGCGCGGCGTCTGGGCATGCCCCTCTTTATCTTGCAGGCCGTGGACTTGTGCAACACGATCCAGGGCGATCCCGACGCGGGTTGGCGCTTCCTGAACGTTCTGAACATGTAACATGCACGACAGAGGACATCCACGGCGTCTCATCGGCCCACGTCGGCACGGAGGTGCGATTCACGGCATTGCAGGAAGTATTGACGAAGAAGGTGTGATCGCGCAGGAGCAACGGGCCACCGTCGTGTCATTCGAGTACTACCCCGACGACGAGCAGCGGCGCAAGGAATGCCGGGCAGGCCTGGTCTGTCGCCTCCGCTTCCTGCCGCGGGGAATACGGCTGCAAGTGCACGGTTGCAAGGAGTCTCCGATGTACCAGGATTTCGCCGAGCTGTGCGACAGGGCGCCGAAGGCGCCGACGACGACGGCCAGCCTGCTCGCGCTCGGGCCCAGCGAGCAGGAGCTCGCGCGCCAAAACGCGGGATCGCACGTCGCGCGCCGCTCGGGGTGCACTGGCGCGCGCGTCCAGCCTCGCCTCCATGCCGAGGGCGTCGCCATCGACTGCGCGAGGGGCGAGGGCGCTGGCCGCGCGGGCATGTCGGACGACCCGTGGCGGTTGCGTCTCTGCGTCATGTTCTCCAGCGCCACGCGCGTGCAGAACGCGCTGATCATGCAGCCGCCCCCGCGGGGGCTCCCGGGGGGCGGGCCGCCCGCGCCCCCGCGGGCCGCTCCAGAAATTCGACGCGGGAGCGGAGAGCTCCAGGGCAGAGGCGGAGCAGCTCGCGGCAGAGCTGGGCTTCGTGCTGCCTCCTGCCTGAGTGCTGCCGCGACTAGCTCGGCGCCTGCGGGGTTGCCTCAGCGGCTTGCTCCGCGCCCGGGCGGCTCGCAGGGTTGCCCCGACGGCCTGGCTGGCGGGGCTGCCCCGACGGCCGCCGCGCGAGGCGGCCGGTCGAGAATGCGCCCGCGCGGGCCGGGGCGGCGAGGGCGCCGAGGGCGCCGAGAAACGTTCGCGCCCGCTCATGCAAAAGTAAGGGGGGAGTAAATAATCAAAACAGCAATATGTGACCGTTTTTCCCTACAAGAGGTGGCGAGGAGGGGGCGGCGCTGGGGGCGGGGGGGGGCTTGCGCCAGGGCGAGGGAGAGAATTGCGCAGGGGGGGCAGGAAGGGCGCCTCGCAAATCGCGAGGACGACGGCGAGGGGCATTTCCAGATTAGCGGAGAGGAGTTTCATGTGGGGTCCAACCGTCGGGTTTATTATTGTCGTTTTGACCTCCGTGGGCCGTTTTCGGGCCGCGGGGCCGTCGAGCGTGGATCCATGGTGAACGATTGAGCCCGATGGTCCGCGCGAGGGGTTTGCGGGCCGATTTTGTTCGGATTCGGCTTCGCCCCCCCCCCCCCCTCCCTTTCTGATTGGTTTCCTGCGGTCAGGGCCAGGTTTGCGGGGGGTCCGCGTCGCGTCGACGCGGGTGCATGCCCAGCGCGGGCGCTCAAGGTTGAACGTCGCCGGTGGCCCAGAATTGCGCAGCGTGGAACGATCGCGCGATCGAAAGGCCGCTGATCGTTCAAGGTGGAACGACCCGCGCGGCGTCAGAAACCAGCGCTGTGGCTGCCACGACGCGATTGGAACCTGCCTCTGGGTGGGGGGGGTTCGAGGTTCGTGCTTCGAGATTTCGTGTGTTTTTTCGGGTCTCGATTATTTATATCATCGGAGTTCCTTCCAGCAGCCGCGCATCGCCGAGAGCGTCCCAGAGGGGCGCCCGCATCGTTCCGAACGCGCGTTGGGGGCCCGAGCTGCGGCCCGAAGGCCAGACGACCAGGATCTTCCGGGCCGGGTGCAACCGCGCGGGGGGATAAGATCAAAGGGGGACGCATCGACCCTCGATCGCTCCTTTCCCACCTCGCCTGGGGGGCGCGGTTTTGCTATCGGGGTTTCACTGCCGCCGATTCCAGGTCGATGTTTCCCCCCTTTAGCTGGCCCCGCAAAGCATTTCCCGCCATCCTTCCCGTCGTCGGAGGAGGGGCCCGGCGAGGGTGCGGTGGTCGGAAAGGTCCAGGGCAGAGGTGGAACAGCTCGCGGCTAAGCTGGGTTTCTTTTTGCCTCCCGCCTGAATGCGGCCGCGACTGCCTCGGCGCCTGCGGGGTTGTCCCAACGTTTTGGTTCCGCGCCCCAGCGGCTCGCGGGGTTGCCCCGACGGCCTGGCCGGCGGGGTTGCCCCGGCGGCTGCGCGAGGTGGCAGGTCGAGAATGCGCCCGCGCGGGCCGAGGCGGCGATGGCGCCGAAGAACATTGCCCCGCGCTCTTGCAATCACACACACACACACACATATATATATATATATATATATATATATATATATATATATATATATATATATATATACCCGTAAGGGCTTCGCCCCCTGCCGCCGGCCCCCTCTCTCGGAGAATGGGCCATGGAAGAGCTAAGTCATGAGGCTTTGGCGCTGTCGTGCAGCAGTATCGGAACTTCATGCGAGGCCGATTCGCAATCGGCAAAACCAACTGATCACAAGAGGGGTTACCACACAGGGCGATTGGTAAGACGTGTATGGTTTACGAGCTTGGTTACCACACCTTGGGATTAAAGGGCCGAGGGAGTACTCGCAGTTTGGGTTACCACGCCTTGCGATTGATGTGCGTGAGGGGTGGCACCGAATTTCAGAAATGTGGCAAATCCCCTGTGTTTTTGGACCCTGACCCCGCGGATCTGCGTGAGGGGTGGCACCGAATTTCAGAAATGTGGCAAATCCCCTGTGTTTTTGGACCCTGACCCCGCGGATCTGCGTGAGGGGTGGCACCGAATTTCAGAAATGTGGCAAATCCCTTGTGTTTTTGGACCCTGACCCGCGGATCTGCGTGAGGGGTGGCACCGAATTTCAGAAATGTGGCAAATCCCCTGTGTTTTTGGACCCTGACCCCGCGGATCTGCGTGAGGGGTGTCGATTTCGAGCCCCCCGAGCAATTCAGACAACGCGCCCAGGGGGTGCTAAAAATTCCGTTTGGGCCTCCCCCCCCTCGCGCGGTTAATCAACTAGTTACAGTAACCAGCAAGAAGCAGAACTGTAACACTGGAAACTACAAGCTACAACTGGTACAGGAAACTGCGAATCACGGTCCTACAGCCTGGTGGCCCCACAAGGGGGCCGGCGGAGATATATATATATATATATATATATATATATATATATATATATATATATATATAAAAATATCTTTCTTTGCATGCGGGGGGTCCTCGCGAAACAGATCCGCGAGATCATCTCATAGGCGCGGCCGAACGAGAATTTCTTCGTGGACAGGGCGACGGGCGTCATCGGGGTTGCGTGGGAACCATCGGTTTGCATCGCGCCGAGGGTGGATGAGAATCCGCTGGTGGAGCGCGAGGAGATCCATCCGCCTCTCGACGCCGGGTCTCCCCCGAGGCGAGCTCGAGCCGTCGGTCGACCGCGCGCTCGAGAACGGCGCTGCCGCGGGCCCCGGTGGTCTTTTCTGACGCGTGGCTTGAGCTCGCAGGGGGGGAAGCAGCTCCCGAGATGGCGCTCGGCACCTGGAACGCGCGCGCGGGCCGTTCCATCGCGAGCCCCGCGCGCGGACCATGAATTAGAACTGCCTGCATGCTATGCTTCGAGGGTTTCGAGTTAGTGCCCTTCAGGAAACGCATGGTAGCAATTTTACCTAGCAGTGCAGATTGATAGGTTTCTCGTAGGGTCGAAAGAGAGCATCATGACGCCCCAGGGGGGTCTGGGCGCGATCCGGGGGAGGATGCCAGGAACTTTTTTTACCTAGCAGTGCAGATTGATAGGTTTCTAGTAGGGTCAAAAGAGAGCATCATGACGCCCCAGGGGGGTCTGGGCGCGATCCGGGGGAGGGTGCCGGGGATTCTTTTTTAGCCAACAGTTACACACTTCGTGGTCTTCGAGGTCCCAGACTCCATTCCTGGGCCACATTCTGAATGCCCAGAGCCAACTGTAGGCCACTTCGTGGTCTTCGAGTTCCCAGAACTCCATTCCCGGGCCACATTTTGAATGCCCGGAGCCAACTGTAGGCCACTTCGTGCTCTTCGAGTTCCCAGAACTCCATTCCCGGGCCACATTTTGAATGCCCGGAGCCAGCTGTAGGCCACTTCGTGGTCTTCGAGTTCCCAGAACTCCATTCTTGGGCATGATCTTGAATGCCCGGAGCCAACTGCAGGCCACTTCGTTTTCTTCGAGTTCCCAGAACTCCATTCTCGGGCCACATTTTGAATGCTGAGGCAGGCTGATGCTGAGGCTGAGGCAGGCTGAGGCTAAGGCCGAGGCTAAGGCCGAGGCTGAAGGCAGACTGAGGCTGAGGCTGAAGCAGGCTGAGGCTGAGGCTGAGGCAGGCTGAGGCTGAGGCTGAGGCAGGCTGATGCTGAGGCAGGCTGAGGCTGAGGCTGAGGCTGATGCAGGCTGAGGCTGAGGCACGCTGAGGATGAGGCCGAGGCTGAAGGCAGACTGAGGCTGAGGCTGAAGCAGCTGAGGCTGAGGCTGAGGCAGGCTGAGGCTGAGGCTGAGGCAGGCTGAGGCTGAGGCTGAGGCAGGCTGAGGCTGAGGCTGAGGCTGAGGCTGATGCAGGCTGAGGCTGAGGCAGCTGAGGCCGAGGCTGAAGGCAGACTGAGGCTGAGGCTGAAGCAGGCTGAGGCTGAGGCTGAGGCAGGCTGAGGCTGAGGCTGAGGCTGAGGCAGGCTGAGGCTGAGGCAGGCTGAGGCTGAGGCCGAGGCTGAGGCAGACTGGCTGAGGCTGAAGCAGGCTGAGGCTGAGGCTGAGGCAGGCTGAGGCTGAGGCTGAGGCAGGCTGATGCTGAGGCTGAGGCTGAGGCTGAGGCTGATGCAGGCTGAGGCTGAGGCAGGCTGAGGCTGAGGCCGAGGCTGAAGGCAGACTGAGGCTGAGGCTGAAGCAGGCTGAGGCTGAGGCTGAGGCAGGCTGAGGCTGAGGCTGAGGCAGGCTGATGCTGAGGCAGGCTGAGGCTGAGGCTGAGGCTGATGAGGCTGAGGCTGAGGCAGGCTGAGGCTGAGGCCGAGGCTGAAGGCAGACTGAGGCTGAGGCTGAAGCAGGCTGAGGCTGAGGCTGAGGCAGGCTGAGGCTGAGGCTGAGGCAGGCTGATGCTGAGGCAGGCTGAGGCTGAGGCTGAGGCTGATGCAGGCTGAGGCTGAGGCAGGCTGAGGCTGAGGCCGAGGCTGAAGGCAGACTGAGGCTGAGGCTGAAGCAGGCTGAGGCTGAGGCTGAGGCAGGCTGAGGCTGAGGCTGAGGCAGGCTGATGCTGAGGCAGGCTGAGGCTGAGGCTGAGGCTGATGCAGGCTGAGGCTGAGGCAGGCTGAGGCTGAGGCCGAGGCTGAAGGCAGACTGAGGCTGAGGCTGAAGCAGGCTGAGGCTGAGGCTGAGGCAGGCTGAGGCTGAGGCTGAGGCAGGCTGATGCTGAGGCAGGCTGAGGCTGAGGCTGAGGCTGCTGCAGGCTGAGGCTGAGGCAGGCTGAGGCTGAGGCCGAGGCTGAAGGCAGACTGATGCTGAGGCTGAAGCAGGCTGAGGCTGAGGCTGAGGCAGGCTGAGGCAGGCTGAGGCTGAGGCTGAGGCAGGCTGAGGCTGAGGCTGAGGCTGTGACTGCGATTGCCGTTGCCACTGCGACTGCTATCGCGAATGCGACTACGACTGCGAGAACAGCAGAATTCTACAACAGGATTCTCATCTGAACCTTAAGGGGAATGCTTCCAGATATGCTCCTACACATCGCTGTTAGGTTGCTTTGCCGGGATTTTCCATTAATGTTTCGGACTTTTTACACTTCTCTGGGGCACAGTACTTTGCCTTCTCGTCTTTCTCCCCCTCCAGCAGCGAGGGTGGAGTGGTCGCGCTCTTCCCGAGGCCTTCGTCTCTTCCTGGTTCTGGTGCTTCTGCATCTCGCAAGGTGCCGATTCGTGGTCGGGCGCTTCGGTCCACGTTCAACTTAGGTGCCGCCCTGAGCAGCCCTGATAAGACCCCCACCATCACCTCCCGCTACAGTATCCATAAACATGGGCTCTCGGGACATCAGACTCGGAGGAGCTATCGAATCGGAGCTTTTGAAAGCTGTTCAGGACCCCGGGCGCGACCTGGCGGTTCTCTCGGGCGATCTCGCCCTCCCGAGCGGACGCCCTCCGGCGAGCGTTCCCCGACTCGACGGCGCGCCCGGCGCTGCGCTGCCCGAGCGGGAGCGATGGCAGCGATCGCCGCGGGCACGCCTCTTGAAGCAGATGGTCGAGCTGGGCCCTGGCGACCGCGCGCACTGCAGCGCCTCCGGGGGCCGCGCGTCGGCGATCGATGGGGTCTTCGTCTCCTGGTCTGTTAAAAACATTGTATATATATATATATATATATATATATTAATTTCCATTCGTGGGGTTGCGGAGGTTCGAGAGCTTCCCGAGACCCTGCAACAGCGTGGCATGTCCGATCGCGCCCCTGTCCTGGCCAGCCCCCGTCATCGCCCCCCCCCGCTGCCGACGAACGACCGTTTCCCCGACGCCTCTTGCAGAGCCCCCACTTCGCCCGATCCGTCGAAACGACGTGGCCGACACTCGACGCAAGCGAGCTCTCTCCCCCCCCCCGTCTTGGACCTTTTCAAGCGCGTGCTCCGAGAGGGTGCCAGATGCCGGGGACGCCACCCCGGTCTCCGAGCCGCCCCCTCTCAGGCCCAGTTCATTCTACTTCGTTTTATCGCGGCGGCTGCATGGCGACGAGATCCCACATTGGCCGAACGTCTTCATGGATGTCAAAATGGCGCACGCGCGCCCCGACTCCTCTTCCCCAATTTTGCTCGCGCTCAGGGATTTGCTCGCCGACTGGGCGAGCGCCAATTCGAGGGCGCTCAGGAGCGGACGAGATCGCTCCGAGCAGAATTGGGCGCAGCCGAGAATGCTGGCGCGTCGTCGGCTCCCACGCGCCAAGATTCGCAAGCGGCTGCCGCGCCTGGCCCACCGCGCCATCGCGCGGGCTCCATTCGACCGCGAGATGCCGCCCTTGGGGGCACGATCCAAAATCGGGTCGGCCGCTTCTGCTCGAGATGCCTCGAACGCCGCCATTGCTTCCCACTGGGCCCCAGTCTCTCAAGGAAAGAAGATCGACGCCCCTGCTGCCGAAGTTTGCCTCGGTAAGTTCTGTCCCGAGCTTGATGCCGTGAACGTCCAGCCGCCGACCTCGGGGGCATGGAGGGCCTCCTCCGCCGTCTCTCCCACTCTGGTCCTGGCCCCGACGGGCTACCTTGCGGAGCTCATCGGGCATCGTCACTCTCCGCCGCTATCCTCTTGGGCACCTTGCGGCGGCAGCTCAGCGGGGTCTCCGCGGGGCCCTCCCATATGAGATGCTGGGCACTTTCGCCCCCGAGGGCTCCCGGGGGTTGGGCGCCCCCCGCGGTTGCGAGGGGGCCCCGACAAGTTGCCCTCGCTAGGCCTCAATAGCACTGATTATAAGATCATTACTGGCGTCCCTATCAGGGAAGTTACCCCGCAAGCTCCCGAAGATCTCCCATCAGATCCAACGCGGTTTTTTGCCGCCCAGTACTTTTGCTGACAACGTCGTCGAGATCGACGCGCGCGTTCGGATGTATTCGACGCAGCCGTCCGTCGCCATTGACATGCCGAGCCCTTTTTAGCTATGACTTCCAGCGGGCCTTCTCGAGCTCGGCCCATCAGTGGGCGTTTCTCGTCCTCCGCCACATAGGCTTGCCGCTCGCTCTAATGCAGTTCTTCGAGGCTGTGTTCGGTAACGTGACATGTTGCAGTGGTGATATCCACCAGGCCTTCCTGCTCTTCGTCAGCGTGAGCGGCATCGTGCAGGGCTGCCCTGCCTCGGGCTTCCTGTTCGCCGGCACCGCGGACCCCTTCATGAGGGACTTCGCCCGATCGGTCGACTCCAAGAAGCTCGGCATCGTCCGCGCCTGCGCCGACGACGGCGGCGCCACCGTCGCCCCCGTCGCCGCGCTGCAGGTCATGGGGGGGGCGTCTTCCGCGTCGCCGAGCGGGTTGCTGCGTTGGTGCTGAAGGTGGCGAAATACCACATCGTTCCCTTGGCTGGCGCCTTCCACGACGCCGCGCCTGGCTGACCGCCGACATCCCTGAGTGGCAGAATTTCAACTTCGCGCCGTCTCTCGCGCACCTCGGGGTGCGGCTGGGCCCGCGCGCCCTCCCGAAGAGCCGGTCGGCGCCGATGCGCAAGTGGCAGCAGCGCAGCCAACTTCTCGCCCTGAGCGCCTCTCCCCACCGTGTGATGGCACTGAACTATAGTACCCGTGGTGTGTCTGTACTTAGTAATGTCGCGCAATTCATGCCATTGCCCAGCTCTCTTCTGCCCTAGGCGGCAGCCGTGCCGGCGAGGCTGTGGCGCGTTGCGAATTGCGCCCTCTCGCGGGGGCTGGTTTGATCTTCGGCGTTGGAATCGTCCTCGCTTCCCCAGTCTGCTCGTCTCCGCCACCGCCGCTCTCGTCCGCTCTAGCCTCCGCGCCATCCTCTCTCGGCGTGATATGATGCCGCTGCTTAGAGCTGTCGCAGAAGAGGCCCCCCCTGCGCGCGGAGTGCTGCGAGGCCAGCTGTCCCCCGATTTCTGGCGCCAGCCGTCCTTCGCCGCATTCCTCGAGGCTGACGCCGAGAACTTGGCGCGACCCCTCGGGGCAGACCTGGTCACCTCCACCGTCGCCTCGCGTGATCTCCCCTATCGTTTGACTGCTGCTGCGATCGCTGACCTCCCTCGTCCTCCTGAGGTCCTCGTCCCCGAATCGGACCAGGTCCCCCCAGGCGTCCTAGGCGCCGAATTCAAAGTGCCCTCGCCGCGGCCATGCTGGGCCACCGGTGTCCTGATCCCCCGGTTGACGTCTGTGTGGCTCACCTGGCGAGCTGGCTTTCGTGCTCCGAAAGCGAAATTCGTCGATGGCCGTGGCGCGAGGTCCAGTCTGTCCTTCTGACGGCGACCCCAGTGACCGCTGGCGCCGTGCTCAAATTGCTCACGCGTGGTTGGACCACGGAAGAACGCTTCCAGAAGAGTTGCTCGTGCCTCTTTGGCTGCGCGCCCAACGGTCTAGATTCGAATCTTGACACTTTGGGCCACTATTGGTCATGTCCTCTGTTTCTTTCCATCCTCTCCCCTGTTCTGAACGTCCCCTCTTTTCCTGGTTGCCGCGTCTCTCGTCTCGGCCTCTGCTCCAATCCGTCAGGGTGCACGCCGCTGCCGCGTTGCTGTATGACGCAATCAATCCCGAAAGAACGTCAGTGCTCGGTTTCCTCTCCGAGCCTCGGGCTCGCGCGCTGGCCGCCACTGAGCGGTTCCAGCTCGCTCGGCGATGATCGGAATCGATGACCTGCCGCGCTCTCTGGGCACGCGCGAGTAGTAGTAATAGTAGTAGTAGTAGTAGTAGTAGTAGTAGTAGTAGTAGTAGTAGTAGTAGTAGTAGTAGTAGTAGTAGTAGTAGTAGTAGTAGTAGTAGTAGTAGTAGTAGTAGTAGTAGTAGTAGTAGTAGTAGTAGTAGTAGTAGTAGTAGTAGTAGTAGTAGTAGTAGTAGTAGTAGTAGTAGTAGTAGTAGTAGTAGTAGTAGTAGTAGTAGTAGTAGTAGTAGTAGTAGTAGTAGTAGTAGTAGTAGTAGTAGTAGTAGTAGCAGTAGTAGTAGTAGTAGTAGTAGTAGTAGTAGTAGTAGTAGTAGTAGTAGTAGTAGTAGTAGTAGTAGTAGTAGTAGTAGTAGTAGTAGTAGTAATAGTATTAGCCGTAGTCGTAGTATTCGTAGTAGTCGTAGTAGCCGTAGTAGTGGTCGTAGTGGTAGTAGTCGCCGTAGTAGTAGTAGTAGTAGTAGTAGTAGTAGTAGTAGTAGTAGTAGTATGTGTAGTGGTAGTACTAATACTAAATACTAGTAGTAGTAGTTGTTGTAGTATTAGTAGTATTCGTAAGTTCGTAGTAGAGTCGTAGTCGTAGTCGTAGGTCGTAGTGTAGTCGTAGTTCGTTAGTAGTAGTAGTAGTAGTAGTAGTAGTAGCAGTAGTAGTAGCAGTAGTAGTAGTAGCAGTATAGTTGTAGTAATAGTTGTAGTTTTAGTAGTAGTAGTAGTAGTCAAGTCAGTAGTAGTGTCGTAGCAGTAGTAGCAGTAGTAGTAGCCGTAGTAGTAGTAGTAGTAGTAGTAGTAGTAGTAGCAGCAGCAGCAGTAGTAGTAGTAGTAGTAGTAGTAGTCGTAAGTCGTAGTAGTAGTAGTAGTCGTAGTTGTTGTAGCTGTAGTTGTAGTAGTAGTAGTAGTCGTAATAGTAGTAGTAGTAGTAGTAGTAGTAGTAGTAGTAGTAGTAGTAGTAGTCGTAGTCGTAGTAGTAGTAGTAGTAGTAGTAGTAGTAGTAGTAGTAGTAGTAGTAGTAGTAGTCGTAGTAGTAGTCGTAGTCGTAGTCGTAGTCGTAGTCGGAGTCGTAGTCGTAGTCGTAGTCGTAGTCGTAGTCGTAGTCGTAGTCGTAGTCGTAGTCGTAGTCGTAGTCGTAGTCGTAGTCGTAGTCGTAGTCGTAGTCGTAGTCGTAGTCGTAGTCGTAGTCGTAGTCGTAGTCGTAGTCGTAGTCGTAGTCTTAGTCGTAGTCGTAGTCGTAGTCGTAGTCGTAGTCGTAGTAGTCGTAGTCGTAGTCGTAGGTTCGTCGCGTCTTTTTAGTCGTTGTCGTAGTCGTAGTCGTGTCGTAGTCGTAGTCGTAGTCGTGAGTAGTAGTAGTAGTCGTAGTGAGTATAGTTGTAGTAGTAGTAGTTGTAGTAGTTAGTAGTCGTCTCGTCGTAGGCGTAGTGTTGTGGTAGTAGATTCGTAGTCGTAGTCGTAGGTCGTAGTCGTTGTCGTAGTCGTGTCGTAGTCGTTTAGTCGTAGTTCGTAGTCGTAGTCGTAGTCGTAGTCGTTGTCGTAGTCGTAGTCGTAGTCGTAGTCGTAGTCGTAGTCGTTGTCGTTAGTCGTAGTCGTAGTCGTAGTCGTATCGTAGTCGTAGGTCGTATCACATTATAGTTTTCGTAGTCGTAGTCGTAGTCGTAGTCGTAGTCGTAGTCGTAGTCATAGTCGTAGTCGTAGTCGTAGTCGTAGTTGTAGTCGTAGTCGTAGTCGTAGTCGTAGTCGTAGTCGTTAGTGTAGTCGCAGTAGTAGTAGTAGTAGTAGTAGTAGTAGTAGTAGTAGTAGTAGTAGTAGTAGTAGTAGTAGTAGTAGTAGTAGTACTTAGTCGTTGTAGTAGTCGTAGTAGTCGTAGTAGTCGTAGTAGTCGTAGTCGTGTAGTTCCTAGTTCGTAGTTCGTGTTCGTAGTCGTAGTCGTAGTCGTAGTCGTAGTCGTAGTCGTAGTAGTAGTAGTAGTAGTAGTAGTCAGTAGTAGTGTTAGTAGTAGTTGTAGCAGTAGTAGTAGTTAGTTCAGTAGTAGTATGTAGTAGAGCAGCAGCAGAGCAGAGTAGTAGCAGAGGCAGCTAGTAGTAGTAGTAGTGCTAATAATAGTAGTAGTAGTAGTAGTAGTAGTAGTAGTAGTAGTAGTAGTAGTAGTAGTAGTAGTAGTAGTAGTAGTAGTAGTAGTAGTAGTAGTAGTAGTAGTAGTAGTAGTAGTAGTAGTAGTAGTAGTAGTAGTAGTAGTAGTCGCAGCAGAAGAAGAAGAAGCAGTGGCTGCAGGAGTATATTTCAGAACAGTGTTTGGTATGCTCTTACTTTCGTATCCGTGTTTGCAGGGGGAAGGATGTAGATGCCAGTGGGTGGGAAGGAGAAGGAGGAGCGAGGATGAGGATGAGGTGGGGGAGGAGGAGGAGGAGGAGGAGGAGGGGGAGGAAGAGAATGAGGAGGAGGAGGAGGAGGAGGAGGAGGAGGAGGAGGAGGAGGAGGAGGAGGGAGGACGACGAAGAGTAAAAGGAGGGCGGGGTTCTCTTCCTGGAGTCCTCTCCCAGGCCGGCGCTGGCTCGGACTGCGACGGCGACGGCGGTGGCGAGGCTTGCAGCGCCGCGGGCGCCGCGGCCCTGGAGACCCGCCCTTACCGCCCCCCGCTGGCACGCTCAGCCTCGCGCAGTGGGGGGTTAGGGGAAAGGGGGAAGGAAGCACCCAGGCTTCTAAGAAGCCTTTCCCCCTCCCCCTGCACCCTTGTGCGACCTCCGATCGTCCATTAACCGCCCAAACAGACATGTCGCCCCATGATCGCCGATGGGGGCCTGATTGCGCACCAGGCTCAGCATCGTGCGGATTCATGATCCTGGCCGGTCACTGATCTATCGGCGATGTATCGCCGATTCCAGGGGTTCGCTACTCGGACCTATACATCGGCCATGCATCGCCGATTCCGGGCCGTTGTTTCCACCGCTGACAGCCGGAACCGGGCGCGGCGATCCGATTCCGATCCGTTTCGGGACGACTCATTGGCGACCCGAGCCGTTTCCGATCCGGTCTGAATTCGCGATTCGATCCAGCTCAGGTCTGCCTTTGTTGGCCCCAAGAGGGAGCGGCCCCCACTGCGGAGCACGCCGCCGCCAGTGGCAGCGCGGGCGGCAGCCGTCTGGCAACTGGTGCGGGACGCCTGAGGCAAATTCGGTATGAGTCTGCATGACTCTGCATCTGGGGTTGACAAGACGAAATTCGTAGCACCCCGCAGTTGCGGATAAGATCGACGGGGTGGGCGCGGGGTGGGTCGCGGGTGGGTTGGGGGCGGGCGCGGGGTGGGTCGCGGGTGGGTCGCAGGGTGGTTCGCGGGGGGGCTCGGGCGAGGATGACGACAACATCAATGCAACAACTCTCCGCACCACGGTACCCCACTTCAGCCACGCGCCCAGGGGCAGCGAATGACCGTTTTGCCACCTCACTCTGATAGGAGCATGATGATCATGAGGAGGACCTAGGATACGACGTCACGAACAAATTGCAACATCGCAAAAAGAACCTCGACCGTTGCCTTGGGCCCAATCTTTCTGCGGCGGTCTTCGAGCCAGACCGACGGGGGGCAGAACCGCCCGCTGCGAAAAAGCTTGGGCTCCCAGGGCCTCAGAGAGGAACGAGCATGGCGTGTGGCCCCCCTGAGCTGGCCCCCAACCCCCCCGCAGGGTTCATGTCTCGGGAGCGAAAGAAGGACGTACATGTACATGAATCCACGCTGGTTTCGAGAGTACGCAGTGCGCAAATGTTCGTATACCGCGGCCAGTCTCGCGGATCGAGGGGCCGTGTTCATGTACATAGCTGGGCGCGTACGTCCTTTGTGGGCTCCCTAATGTCCATCCGATCGATCCAATTCGATGCCGACTATGGCCAGCCCGATCCGACTCGATTCCGACCTTCTGTGGCGATCCGGTGTGGCCCGATGCTCTTACACGGTGATAGTGTGCACCCTGGCGCGGCATACAGTCGGGGCGCTGAAGAAGGAACGCTTTTCGTTGGGGAGGGGCTCGGTGTTCCTTGATTGTGTTACAGCTTGCCTCGGGTTTCCCTTAGGTTTTTGCATGGGAAATCGAAGTTTAACTTATGGAAAATAAGGGGCCTCGTTGCTTATTTAGGGTTCCTTAGGTCAATGCCCCGTCTGTGTCCGACTCGATCCCCACCCCGTGCTGATGCGGCCCCATCCGGCGGGCGCTCCGGTACGACCGGACTTCCCGATCCGTGGCAGATCGATTCGTCGCCCCAAGCTTTGACCCTCGAGTTGAGGAGAGCCTGCGTGAGGGGGGTCTGCCGCGCCTGCGTCAAGCTGCGACTTCTCAGAAGGCCCTCGCGCGCGAGTCCGACGTGAAGTCGGTGTGAAACCGACGCAAATCCAGCGTGATCCGACGGAAGCCCGACGCAAATCCGACGCGGATCCGGCGAACATCGTGCCTCAACATGCCGCGCGAGGTCTCGGGTTTTTTTCTCATAAGTGGTCCTTCGAGGAGAGCCTGCGCGGGGGCTGCCGCGCCTGCGTCAAGCTGCGGCTGCGGCTCGAGCATGAGGACCTCTCCGCGGCGGGGCGGGGGGCCGGCACCGCATCTCGCCGCCCCGCGGCCCCGCCGCCCGGACGCCGCCGCCGCTGCTGCCCCTGCCGCCTCTCAGGAGCGAAAGAAGGACGTGCATGTACAGGCCGGTTTTTCCAAGTCGTTTTTTTCGTTGGACTCCCAGATCCCAATTTGCTCAAACCGCCTTCCCAATTGAAGAGTGGATCTGTTGTTGATGCTGTTGTTGTTGCTGTTGTGGTTGCTGTTGCTGTTGCTGTTGCTGTTGCTGTTGCTGTTGCTGTTGCTGTTGTTGTTGTTGTTGTTGTTGTTGTTGTTGTTGTTGTTGAATTCTCATTCTTGAAGAATAATTATTGTTGATCCCCCCCCACCGTTGCACATTGATTTTTTCCATTGAAGTGCCCCCCCGGGGCTCGCACCTTGTTTTTTGTCAAGGAAAGTCTTCCTGCTCAAACTAGCCCCCCCCCCCCGGTTACAACAACAACGGCTGCCGCATGAGACTTCCTCACAATTAAGCCAGGACCCCCGCTCCCGCCCGAGACTTCCTTGCATTTTATTCAAGAATCGCGCTCTCGCTTGGGACTTCCTTATGATTTATTCAGGAATCGCTCCTCCTGCGCTCTGCAGTCGCGCTCTCGCTGGAGACTTGCTTGCAACTTACTGAAGAATAGCGCCCTTGCGTTGGAATTTCTTGCAATTTACTCCAGCGCCGCGCTTCCGACACCCAGGCACCCAGGAGTCGCGCTCACGCTTAGGACTCCTTCACAGATTACCTAGGAATCGGGATCTCGCTGCCCTTCGTGGCCCCGTTGCAGCCCTTCGTGCCCCCCTCGCTTTGTTTCGTGGCCCCGTTGCAGCCCTTCGTGGCCCCCTCGCTTTGTTTCGTGGCCCCGTTGCAGCCCCTCGTGGCCCCCTCGCTGTCCTTCGTGTCCCCGTTGCAGCCCTTCGTGGCCCCTTCGCTTTGTTTCGTGGCCCCGTTGCAGCCCTTCGTGGCCCTCTCGCTGCCCTTCGTGGTCCCGTTGCAGCCCTTCGTGGCCCCGTTGCAGCCCTTCGTGGCCCCCTCGCTGCCCTTCGTGGCCCTGTTGCAGCCCTTCGTGGCCCCCTCGCTTTGTTTCGTGGCCTCATATATGTATGCCCTTCGTGGCCCCCGCTCGTTCGCGCCCGTGGTGGCCCCATATGCATGCCCTTCGTGGCCCCGCTGTCGCCCTTCGTGGCCCCCTCGCTGCCCTTCGTGTCCCCGTTGCTGCCCTCAGTGGCCCCGTCCGTACCCTCCGCGGCCCAACATACGTATGCCCTTCGTGGCCCCCGCTCGTTCGCGCCCGTTGTGGCCCCATGTGCATGCCCTTCGTGGCCCCGCTGTCGCCGTTTGTGGCCCCCTCATTGTCCTACGTGGCCCAGGTGCTACCCTCAGTGGCCCCATCGTTGCCTTCTGTGGCCCCGCATTATCTGCACTTCGTGGCCCTCGCTCGTTCGCGCTCTTCGTGGCCCCATACGCATTCCCTTCGTGTCCCCGCTGTCGCCCTTCGTGGCCTACTTCGTGTCCTTCGTGGCTCTGCTGTCGTTCTCTCTCGCTCTCGCTTTCGCTCGTCGTCGTCGTCGTCGTCGTCGCCGATGCCGTCGTTGCCGTCGTCGTCGACGTCGTCGTCGTCGTCGTCGTTGTCGGTCCCCTGTCCGTCCCTCTTGGGGTCGGGTCGACGGTCCGCGGCCGCCCCGCCGATCAGCGCTGCCGCTGGCCAGGCCGACGGTCCGCGGCCGCCCCGCCGCTTGCCGGGGCCCGGCCTGCAGGGAAGAAAGGTATACCCCCCCAAAAGGATTCGATCGAAGACGAAAAGGGCGGGTATCGAGGGTTAGGGAAATTCGCGTTATTCGACACTGGAGCATCTAAGGGAGAACCGTCTTAAACTGATTGTTGTTGTTATTGTTGTTGTCGTTGTTGTTGTTGCTGCTGCTGCTGCTGCTGGTGCTGCTGCTGCTGCTGCTGCTGTTGTTGTTGTTGTTGTTGTTGTTGTTGTTGTTGTTGTTGTTGTTGTTGTTGTTGTTTATGTTGTGGCTGTTGCTGCTAATGTTGTTGCTGAGGTTGTTACTGTTGTTGTTGTGGTTGTCGTTGTTGTTGTTATTGTTGTTGTTATGCTTTTGTTGTTGTTGTGGTTGTTGTTGTTGTTTATGTTGTTGTTGTTGTTGTTGTTGTTGTTGTTGTTGTTGTTGTTGTTGTTGTCGTGGTTGTTGTTATTGTTGTTGTGGTTGATGTTGTTGTTGCTGTTGTTATTATATGTGCTGTTGTTGTTCATGTTGGTGTTGTTGTTGCTGCTGTTGTTGTTATTATTGCTGATCAATTCCTACTACTGTCGAGCAATGGCTGTTGATCCCCAGCCCTCAGGGGGGCATTATGTTTTGTCAGTCGAAGTGCGCTTCCGGGGGCCTGGGTCGTGTGTTTATAAAGGAAAGCTGGAGGTCACCAAATTGGGCCTGTGGCCCCCGAGTTACAACAGCAACGGTTCCCGCTTGAGACTTCATCATAGTTTACAAAAAACGCTCCGTCGCGAGGAAATTCCTCGCACGTTCTGCAGGAATCGCGCTCTCGCGTGCGACTTCCTCGCAATTTATCTAGACGCCGCGCCTTGGACACTCAGGAATCACGCTTTCGCTTTGGCTTTTCACACGATCTACTTGGGAATCGCGCTAATGCTGGACCTCTCCTCGCGATTGATGCAGTACTCACGCTTCAGCAACACGCCTTCTCAACTGGCCGCGTGGGCTCGGCTTCCCGACCCGCCCATTACGGTCTACACGCCCGGATGAGTCCGCCTGGTTGTGCCACGTGTTTTTGCGCCCAGCCCCCTTTTGCTAATCCGTCCCCCTTCCATCCCTCTCCTAGCTCCATCTTTCTCCCTCCCCCTTCCATCCGTCCTCTCTTCCCTCGTTTCAGGGGCTGCACCAGTTACCCGTGGCAGGCAACGAAGATCCACCCCCAAGGGGGGGTACGATCGAAGACGAAGAGGGCGGGTACCGAGGGTGTGGGATATACCTGTTGAGTGGCACGCGAGCGGATAAGAGCGAACAGTCTTACCATGGGTTTCGTTGTTGTTGTTGCTGTTGCTGCTGCTGTTTCAGTTGTTGAGTTCTCAGTTGTAAAGAACTGTTGTTGATCCCCCCCTTCCCTGGTGACCATTTATTTTTCAATGTCAGTTATTTTCCCGGGGCTCGCAGTCTTTTTCGACGAAGGAAAGCGAGGTGTCACCAAATTGCGCCCCCGGACCACGTTTTACAACAGCAGCGGCTCCCGCCTGATACGTCCTCGCAAGTCATTCCCAAATCGCGCTCCCGCGCGGGACGTCTTCACAATTTTACAGGAATCGAGCTCTCGCTCGGGAGCTCTCGCAAATGATGCAGACGCCGCGCCTTCGACAGTCAGGAATCACGCTCTCGCTGTGAATTTTCCAACGATTAATTTGGGAATCGTGCTGTCGCTCGAGACTGTGGATTTTCCAACGATTAATTCAGGATTCATCCAGGAGGCACGCTTCAGCAACGCGCCTGCTCGACCTGGCGCCTGGACCCGCCTTTCCGACCAGCCTGTTTTGGTCTACCCGCCCGATCGGCCCGTCTGGTTTTGCCACGTGATTTCTGCTCCCAGCCCCCCTCCTGCTATTTTCTCTCGTGTTCTATCCTCCTCCCTCCCCCTTGTCCGTTCCTTCCATCCGTCCTCTTGTTCCCTGCCGTTGGGGCTGCATACACGTTGCAGGTAAGAAAGATATACCTCCAAGGGGGATGCGATCGAAGACACAGGGTGCGGGTCTCGAGGGTGCGGGATATACCTGTTGAACGGCACGCGAGCGGATAAAAGCGAACAATCTAAACGTGATGGTTGTTGTCGTTTTTGGTGTAGTTGTTGTTGCGGTTGCTGTTGCTGTTGTTGTTGTTGTTGTTGTTGAACATTATTAATTCTAAAGAATAATTATTGTTGGGCCCCCTGGTGCACGCCCCCCCCGCCGCGCCTAGGCCGCAGCTACATTTTCATCATTTTCGTGAGGAAGCCTCAGGTAATTCGATGTGATCAAGATCCGGTTGTTTTGTTCCCCCCCGCTTCCCCTTGCAAAAAACACTATAAAATGAAATTTCTTGTTCTAATTAATCAAATTTCAAGAATCCCTTGCAAAAAATAAGGTAAAGTGGACATTCGCGCGTGCAAGACGAAATCCTTCCAAAAGCTTAGTGTTCGGAACGATTTCAACATAAAAACATCAAAAAAACCAATGGTTTTTCAACAAAAAAATGTCAAAATCTCATCCCGCGCGCTCTTGCGGATTCGTAGGAAACCCAACACTTTTTAAACATTTCTGTCAAACGGGCTTTTGCGAGCAACTTTTTTCGAACTTCTGCGACAATCGACGAGCCGAAATCCTTCACATCAGTAATTTTGGGTCTCGGAGCCCACAGGGCGGTTTTTCATGTTTTCCATTCGACGTTCCATGAAGCCCGATGTCATTCCGAGGCCGCGCGTCGAACGTTTTCGATGGCGCGTCGCGTTATGCGATGTCACGTGCGTTGGGGTCGTCAAAGGCTTGCGTGCAGGTTGCGGATCGGTTGATGTGGGCTGGGGTTTCTCAGGATTGTACATTTGCTTTGCGCTGGGGCGGTTTCGACCCCCATCCCTGGCTGATCCACCCCGCGGGTAACGTCGCAGGAAGAGTTCGATCATTTCGTTCGTAGTGCCAGCGATGCTGTCGGGGATATTGACCGCGCCACGGGGGGGGTCGTCCAGAAATTTCCTACCATATTGCAGTGTTGGTTCTTCGTTTTGAAGAGACACCGCCCCGCGTCATTCCTTCCGGCCCCCTCCCTCGTCCTCCCTCTTCGCGTATCTGCCCCTGCTCTCCGCGTGTCTCCGTCGTCATCGTCCATCGTCATCGTCGCCATCACAATCATCATCAGCATCCTCAGCATTCTCGTCGTCTCCATCATCAATACCATCACCATCCTCATCAACATCATCAAAACACCCCCCTTGTTCCCCCGCGTCTCTGCTTCGCCACATCCCCCGCAAGTGTCGTGGCCTTGTGAGGTGCTCCACGGAAGGCCCCATCGGCAGGGTCCTTAGTGCGCCGCCCAGCCC